GCTTGGCCTTGCACTGTTTGATGTCCATCTCCACGTCCTCGCCCGTCTTGTTGTATGCCTCCTGGATCTTGCACTGCAAGAAGACCTCCGTGATGAAGATTGGTCCCCAGGGCTCGTCGAGCTGGCTCATGAATTCCTTCAGGAGCTGTCTCACGTGGAGGAGGGACGCGTCTAGTTGCTGCTCCTCCGTGTCGAGAACCGCCACGATCTCCTCGACTAGACTCGCCGCCACCTGGCCATGAGGTGGGCCGAGGCCGTGCCCTTTGCCCAGCTGCTTTACTTTCCGCCCGTACTCCCTGCCTGTCTCCATCGGCGCCTGCACCCATTCTGGCTCGAGCGGCGTCAGCCAGAACTCTCCCGTGAGGTGCAGAAAGTTGCGGATCTCGTTCGAGTTCTGGAGAGTGAGCCTCTGGAGCGATCTCAACTGGTCCCGCAGCTCCACTTGGCCTCCTCCTCCCCCACCACGGCCGCCTCCTGGGGGTCCTCGACCTCCTCCTCCTCGGCGCTGGGTGGGAGGCGGCTGCTGCGGCGTCTGCTGCGACTGCTGAGTGTCTGACGAGCCGACTCCGCCGCCGCCGAGGTGTGGGCGCTGTGCTGGTCGCTGCCCTTCGGCTGCGCCTCCTCCTCTCTTCGTGCTGGCCCTGATGCGCCAGTCGCCGTGGCCCACGTGCGACATGTGCTCCTTCTCCCCGTGCTGCTCTGATCGACTCTGGCCCTGCTATGTGCTCACGTATGTGTGCGTGGTAGTCCTCAAGAGTTTGAGCCTCGTGGTTACAGATCTGGCAGCTAAGGGAGCTGGGGTCGGAAATGGGGTGGGACCACATCGACCTGTCTTGGTGGCATATACCGTGGCCGTGTACTGCCCTGACTGCATGGTCGACACATACCTTACGGTTAATAAATGTGCTCTTGCACCAGGGACACTGGTTGTTGACGATTACGGACGCCACCACTGGTCGGATGTTGTGGGTCTCTCGGCGATGCCCAGCTAGTGCTGCATATGTCGCAAAGCGCATGCCACACCTCTGCTCTGTGTCGTTTTCGCCCTTCGTCGTATGATCGCACCAATATGGTTTTAGTGTATCCTCCTCCCTGCCCTCCTCCCCCTGTATCGTCGCATCTCGTGTCGTGAGCACATCCCAATTTCGCTCGTAACTGTACAGTATTGATGGGTCTGTTTGTAACCAGTTTTTTTGTTCCGTACTCCCCTGTTCGAATATAGCGAGGTCGGATTCCCTGTCTGCGTACCATCCCATGCTCTCGTCCACTGTTGCTATCACATGCATGTCGGCTGCAAACTGCTGTGCCCACGGGGTGGAGGTGGGCCCCGCAAATCCCTGCCCCTCAAGTCGACGTATGCCCTGAGCTGCGTCTAGTCTGGATGTTCCGAACACCGCTGCTATGACTGCTCCGTGCTCCCAAGGGTGCCTTGACCAATTCTGATACCACCGTAGGCGTCGCACCAGCAAAGAGACGGATGTGCGCTCAAGTCCCCAGTATCTGAACACCTGTCGCAAGTTGTTGCACCTCACTGTCCCATCTGCTCTGGTCCACGACATTGCTCCTCCCGCTAGCGTCCGTAGGTACTTGCCTAGTACGCTGTCGATAGCTGTGGCGTGGGCATCTGTCAGAACTAGCGCTGGCAAACCGCTAAGGGCCGCACCTACCACGAATGTCATGAACATCATGCGTTTTTTATTTGTCGGGGTACCATAGAGGTCCAGAAGATCCCGCATTGTCGCCATGCAACGCGGATGGCTGCGATGCGCCGCACGACCTCGCCAGTGATGCCCTGTCCAGCTGGTAGGTAGGGGCCAAGTACCCGCATTTCCCTTAGCGCCTGACCTTGCAGTGTTTTGCTGCGCCTTAGTTGTCTGGTTTTCCCGTAGCAGCCCTGCCCTACGAGGTATAGTAGGTGGTTGGTCTTAGCATTATTGAGTCCCCATCCTCCTGCTGCTATTGTTTGGGAAAGGCGTTCTGTGTTGTTGTTGAGTTGTTTTTCAATGTCTCCAGCCGTCGCTGCAGGTGGTATTGTCTGCACATAGGTGATGTCGTCCATGAACGTGTTGAGAGCTAAGTCGTGGGTGTTGCCTGCAACTGGGTTGGTCGTGTCGTGGATGATCTGGTCTGGGTCTGTGCGGCCTTGTTCCCACCATTTTGTGACGTACAGGTTGTATGCGTCGTTAAATTGCCTTGGGCATAGAGTGAAGCCCATTTGGGCGCCTGTGGTGCTCTCCGCTTCGACTGTGCCGTCGGCAGCTTCGAGCGTCAGGGTGGAGTGATCGATTGCTGCCATGGCGAAGCGCTGGTCGTGCTCGTGTGCTTGCCTGAAGGCAACCGCTCTGAGTAAAGCTCGATTGGTGGCTGCAAACGCGTTGGTGCCGTCGTAGTTGGTTGTGACTGTGCTCACCCCCGCTTGTGCCGCCCTCCATTGGGCCGCTTGTACGCAGAGGATGGCGTTTTCCCGACAGCGGTGTGGGAGGCCTCCTTGGGCCCAGGGTGCCTGCGTTGTAGGTGAGCCACGTGCGTGGATACCTGAATGCCAGGCCATTCCAAAGGAGTCGTAAACGTGTAGTATACGTTTCCCTAGTATCCCTTCTTTGTTGTTGTGTTTCTCTGCTGGGAATGCTTGTGATCGGTGCCAGTCCAGCGGGGTGACCTGACAGCTTCTGCATTGCACGAGGAATTGGTCTAGGTACTTCACGTACCCTTTACTGTGGTCCGCAATCGTGTCTGCACCTAGTCCTGCGTATCTGCCCCTCCCCACTGCATATGATTGCTGCTCCCAGGCGGCTCCTTCTGTCCCATCAGTCGCTGTCGGCACACGTCCCAGCCTGGTACCTTCCGTCCACCCCATCCGTCGAAGCAGTTCCCTCCCCTTCTTGCATCGTCCCAATGTCGTGTAGTATGCAAGCTCATCTTCATCCCCCCTTTTTTCTGCATCAGCTACTCGCTTCTCTTCTAGTCGTCTGCTGAGCTCTGCTGGGTCCTGAAGATGGAGGGCGGGATCGATCATCAACCATGTCATCTCGATCGGGATGCCCCATGGTGGCCAGGCCCGTCGTTTGCTGGCTCGCTGGCAGTACCTACGCATCGCTCGCTTGTCGGCTTCGACCTGAAAAAGAAGATCGTGGTCGGTCGGTAGTCGGTCGATGTGCTCCTGGACAAAGGCCTCATGTGCTTCTCTCTCTGCCTTTCTGTCGATAGGCCTTGCTCCTAGTCCCCCTTCCAATGCTGGATGGGCGAGCTCCTGATACCAGTAGTCGCAAGGCCAGTGGGTTCGGGCAGATCGGTAGTACCTTTTCTTTGGCCCGCGCCCGTTCCTCTGGTACTGGATGCGTAGTCGGTGCATCTCGGCGAGGTTCCGTTTTTCGTAGGCCTCCCATATGCGTTCGACCAGGAGCGCCCGTCTTTGTTTCTCTACACCTTCTCGGGCCTGCTTCAGCGCCGCCGTGACTTCTTTCAGCTCGTTTTGTACCCACTCGTAGTCGTCGGCACACTGCTCTGGTGTTAGGCTTTGTCGCAGTGTTCGTCGCTTCGTAAGGAGCTCGAGTCGGTATTGCTTGGCTCGCTTCGTAAGCTGGTCGATCTCGTCGGGTGTGCCACCTTTTCCGAAAGTCGTGAGCATGGCCGATCGTGCTGCTCCTCCCAGGAGGTCCCAGGTTTCGTCTGGCGTCGCCGCTCTCAGAGCTCTCTCCCACTGCTCCCCACCCACCTCCTCCACCTCCTTGTCGAGTTCGGTGAGCAGCATCTCCCTCTTGTGGCCGCTGCGCAGACACTCCATGAGTCCGTCCCTGCACAGTCCCTGTTGTAGGCGGGCGCGCGAGGGGAAGGAGGTGTTGGAGGTGGTGACGAGGAGGGTGAGGCCGATGGGGAGGTGGTCCCTGTGCCCTCGTACTTTGACCTTTTGAAGCCTTTTGCCGGACCGATGGAGAACCTCGCACCTTTTTACTAGTCCCAGGGCCCCTGTCGGTACAACTATGTGGTCAATACGACTGTTGTATCCTGAATGTCCATAAAAAGTAGGTTCGGCGATGTGGTAGGTGGTGGCTATGCTAAGGTCGCTGGTCTGGCACAGGGTCCTCAGGCTCGTGCCGTTGGCATTCTCTATTTTGGGTTCCCTGTCTCCTACCGTCGGTCCTCTGCTCCGCACAATAGTCCCGTCTGCTTCTCTCTGGCAACCAAAGTCACTGTTCACATCCCGACCCATCACAATCGTCGTACGGCTGCCTACTCGGTCGACACACTGTTCCAACCATTTGGTTATCGCTTCTGCTAATGGCACGTAGTACGCTAGATGTGTTGGGGCGTAGTAATAAACAAAAAAAGCATAGTCGTGTTGGCCCGTCGAGAGGCGAATTCGTGCAACCCGTCCCTGGAGGCTGGTTGGTGGGGTGTAGGTTGCCCGTAAACTGCGCTCGTCGATTCTCTGGCTGATGAGGATCGTTAAGCCACAGCTTTTGTTGATCCACTTCCCCTTGCGAGCACCAAATTGTAACACGTAGTGGTTAGGGAGGTAGTGTCTCTGTACTGCTTCTGCTCCCGCCCATCTGCATGTTCCGCTGAGGAGGATGACGTCCCAGCTGTGCAATTCCGCGCTGATGTCCTCCAGTCGTTCTATGCTCGCTGCCTCTTGTGGGTTGTAGTAGCAGATTCTCATGCCTAGGCGCACGGGCACGCCATGCGGGCCCCCCAGTCTCCCCTGCCCCCGAGACCTGCGGGTGTGGGCGCAAAATCGCTGGTGTACAATTGTACCTGAGGTGCGGTCGGTCGACTCTTGGGCACCTCAAACAGCGACTAGGAGGAGGAGGAGGAGGAGGAGGAGGAGGAGGGGAGGAGGAGGAGGAGGAGGAGGAGGAGGAGGAGGAGGAGGAGGAGGAGGAGGAGGAGGAGGAGGAGGAGGAGGATAGGGGGAGGGAAGGCAGAGGCAGAGGCAGAGGCAGAGGCGCGGGGGGGGAACCTGCGGCGACGCGGGCCGTCGAGGCAAGGGCGGCCGGCGCCTTCTCGGTGTACAGGCGGAAGCACTTGCCGGGCTGCGTGCGGCCGGCGCGCCCGGCCCGCTGCGAGGCCGAGGCCTGCGCTGCGGGGAGGGGGGGGGCGCCGAGGGCACACGCCTGAGAGCGCGGCGGGCACACGGGGTGCGAGGCTGGGCCTTGATGCAGGGGCCAGACCACAAGAAGCCTTCCACAGGGAACCCAACCCTGAGACCCCAGGACGTCCACGGTGTGGAAGGTCAGGCTTTCCACATCAGAACCAGCGAAACCAAAGAAACCCCGGGCTCTCTGGAGGCAAGCAGGGTGTTTCTTGGCCTCGGTCTGCACTGTACTGTCTGGGCGGCGAGCGAGGGGGGAAGTGAGAAGGAGAAGGCCCTCTCAGAAGGCAGCGGGGCTTCTCCGAAGCCCTCTCGCCTTCTGAGAAATGTTCTGCGCCTTCGGGGGAGGCTCACGAAAGTTCTCAGAGGGCCGGGGGGACTTCCGAGCCTTCAAGGGGGCCCGCCCCATCCTCACGTCCACCCTTCTTGTGCCGCCGACTGCCAACGTGCTGCGAACCTCCAGCCCCGAGACACAGTGCACCACACCGCCAGCCGGGCTCCCCGCCCCCAGGGACCCTTCCCCTGCAGTGCAGTCCGCCGTCCTCCCGCCGCAGCAGAGCTCGGCGGCCCACACCCCCGCGACGGCCACCACGGCATTGGGGCCGTAGCCCAGCCAGCGCGCAGCAGCGCCCCCTTGCGGGCGGGACCGCGCCGCAGCCATCGTGCTGCCACGGGGCTGGACCTAAAAACGCTGCTTTTCTGGTTTTGTGTTCGCCATGGGGCTCGCTTTGCTCGCTTGCCTTCCCTGTTCCCGCCCTGCCAAACCGAGAAACACACACAGCCGAAGTCCAGCAGCCCAGCGTTGAGGCCCAGTCCCGTGCTACCGCGCGGACCGCTGAAGCGAGCAACGGATCGGCTTTCCTGGCCACGGCGAACCCGGGACACGCGCAGGCTCCCTGACCAAGATCTCCGGAGCGGCACCCAGCGCGCCCCCCTGGAGCCCGAAGCTGACCCTGCCTTGACTGTCAGCATCTCCACCGCCCAGGGGTGACCGATCTCGCAGGACCCCCGGGGACGGCGAATGTGGACATGTCTGATCCCGGACGCGTCCATACCTACCGCCTCCCGATGTCCCAGAAACTCAGTTCCCCAGACAGTGGGTATGCAGAAGTCCCAGCCTCGGACTGCACCTTGGATCCCGTCGCGTCGTGGAATGAAAGCACGACGAAGATTTTTGGCAACAGTGCACCCCCAGAACCCCCAGTCCCCGCCAAGCAGGCCCAGAAGATGTTCCCCCAAAGGCACCCTGAGACCCCAAGACGCCCCCAAGAGGATTCACACCTACCTCCAAGAAGTCCCAGTGGGCGAGATGCAACCAGCCCGAGATGCCTCTACGAATCCTCTTGTCCACGATCCAGGCGCGGTGCTCTGTCTCTTCTGGTCTCGAGGTGCTCTTCAAGCCGTCCTGGGATATTCGTCGACCCTCTTCGGAGATGATCGTCGGCTGCCTCGCGGCCTTCCCAGGGCCTCCTGATGTCCCTTGAAGGTCGGTGGAACCGCCCGGAAGGCTTGAGTAAGGCCAGGGGGTCAGGTCTGCAACACCCCAAACGGACGTCAAGGGGCGCCATCAACCTGTTCGGTCAAGCTGAAATTGATGCACCACACCTGGCGTCAAGCCAAAACTGGCCCTCTTGGGCCGTCAACAAAAAACTGCGGATGCAAAGCTGCAGAGCTGATCGTCCATGGGAAGGCGTCGAGATCTGCACCATCATCATCATCATCATCATCATCATCATCATCATCATCATCATCATCATCATCATCATCATCAGCATCAGCATCAGCATCATCATATGCATCATCATCATCAGCATCATCACAATCATCATCACCATCATCAGCATCATCATCAGCATCATCAACATCGTCATCATCATGATCATCATGATCAGCATGATCGCGATCATCGTCAGCAACATCATCCTCAGCATCATCACCATCAACATCACCATGACCATCATGACCATCATGACCATCATGACCATCATGATCATCATGATCAGCATGATCATCATGATCATCATCATCATCAGCAGCATCATCACCACAACCATCACCACGATCATCACCACCACCACCAGCATCATCATCATCAGCATCATTGTCAACATCAGCATCATCATATTCATCATCATTATCATCATCATCACAATCATCATCGCCATCATCAGCATCATCATCAGCATCATCATAATCATCAACATCGCCATCATCATGATCATCATGATCAGCATGATCATGATCATCATCAGCAACATCATCCTCAGCATCAAAACCATCAACATCACCATCAACATCATCAGCATGACCATCATGACCACCATGATCATCATGACCATCATGATCATCAAGATCATCACGATCATCATGATCATTATGATTATCATCATCATCAGCATCATCATCACCACCACCATCACCACCATCATCACCACCACCATCATCATCATCATCATCAGCATCAGCATCAACATCATCAGATGCATCATCATTATCATCATCACAATCAGCATCACCATCATCATCATCAGCATCATCAACATCGTCATCATCATGATCATCATGATCAGCATTATCACGATCATCATCAGCAACATCATCCTCAGCATCATCACCAACAACATCACCATCATCATCATGACCATCATGACCATCATGACCATCATGACCATCACGATCATCATGATCATCATGATCATCATGAGCATCATCATCATCATCAGCAGCATCATCATCACCACCACCATCACCACCACCACCATCATCATCACCATCATCATCATCAGCATTGTCATCATCAGCATCGTCATAGTCATCATTATTATCATCATCATCAGCACAATCGATATCACCATCATCAGCATCAGCATCATCAGCATCATCAACATCGTCATCATCATGATCATCATGATAAGGATGATCAGGATCGTCATCAGCATAATCATCCTCATTATCATCACCATCAACATCACCATCACCATGACCATCATGACCATCATGATCATCATGACCACCATGACCATCATGATCATCATGATCGGCATGATCATCATGATCATCATCATCAGCATCATCATCATCACCACCACCATCACCACCATCATCACCACCACCATCAACATCACCATCATCAGCATCATCAGCATCATCATCAGCATCATCATATTCATCATCATTACGATCATCATCACAATCATCACCATCATCATCATCAGCATCATCAACATCGTCATAAGCATGATCATCATGATCATCATGCTCATCCTCAGCATTAGCAACATCATCCTCAGCATCATCACCATCAACATCACCATCACCATCATCATCACGACCATCATGACCATCATGATCATCATGACCATCATGACAATCATGATCATCATCATGATCATCATCATGATCATCATGATCATCATGATCATCATGATCATCATCAGCATCATCATCACCACCACCATCACCACCATCATCACCACCACCACCATCATCATCATCACCACCATCATCACCACCACCACCACCACCACCATCATCATCATCATAATCATCATCATCATCATCATCATCGTCATCATCATCATCATCATCATCATCATCATCATCATCGTCGTCGTCCATGGGAAGAAATCGAGATCTGCATTTGTCGGAGAGGGGTGGTGGGGTGGGTGCGGGCGCCAGGTGCCCGACGCAGGCCGAGAGCGGCGGAACCTTTCTGGGTGAACAGTCCTGGAATGCTGCTCCTGCTTCTGCCTTCGGCAGGAGGAAAGAGATCGGAACCACCGATCGTCATCGCTCGCACGCCCATCCCCCGTGCACGCTTCGGTCTCGTGCGTGCCCCCTATGTTTCCGCAAGATGATCCAGGATGCTCCTCCATGGTCTCGCCGAGACAACATGCACACGTCGGACGTCCATTCCCCGTGCATGTCGGTGTCGCGAGTGCTTATTTTTCCGCAACATGATCCAGGATGCCCCTCGATTGTCCTCGCCGAGACAACATGCACACGCCCGAGCGATGCCACGGCCAGCAGCGCGAGAAGCCAGGGAAGGCCGCATGGTGGTGTGCTGCGCTCCCCTGGTCTGCGGCGTCCCGCTCGAGGCGTCTCTCCATCTCTTCAGGCTCGGGGGGAGGGGTCTCGTGGACCTCTCTTCGCTGGAAGTGGCCGGCGGTTGATGGTGATGCCGCTCCTCCTGCCTCCGAGGCTCGAGCATCCGCGATGAGTCCTTAGGCCCCCCCCCGAGAGGGGGTAACTAATTATGTATTCGGCGGCCTCATGGAAAGACTTGCGTCCCACCAACAGGGGGTAACTAATTATTATGATTCCGCGGCACCCGCCGCGCAGCAGCAGGAGGAGGGGGAGCAGAAGCGGATTTAGGACCAGTCCTATTCACCGCCGAGTGAAAAGGGGGGATCACAACTGAGGACCTCCTGAGGTCAGGGGATCGACTACAGAATTGAGTTACCCCAGATTTTGTCCGCCGATTCTGCGAAAGCACAAGGGGAATATGCAGTAGATCTACTGAACTTTCCACCTGCTGTGCGTAGATTCGGCCGAATATGAATTTCGGGGTAAATAAATTCTGTAGTCGATCACCTATTCGAGAGACGGGGTCGGAACATCGCACCCCATGGCCTACGCGTATGGAGAGATCGGCCTCCGTGCCGCGCCAAGTCGCCGATGCAAGTACCGGTGAAACGGCGCGATCCTTTTCAACCCCATCTACTCTAGCCCCATGCGGGAGGACTGGACAAATGCATTCGCTTACTGCGAGGCCCGAGGACCGGCAAACACCTGGAATCTCCGCATGTCCACATTGCAAAAACAAACCACGGTCGGGGGTCTGGATTCTACACGTCCACCGCCGCGAGAACCGTGGAATGGACATCGGTGCGTTGGTGCCTGACAGTGCGTGGATGTTTCCACCTTGCGACATCGCGGCGTTCCAACATCACGTGTTTGTTTGGCGGCGCGCACAAGGGGGTGGGGGGAGGGGGGAGGGCTTCTTAGGAGGCTGCTACTTAGAAGGCGCCGGCCTTAAATCTATAGAGAAGGCCCGCGCCTTCTAAGAGGCAGGAGCGCCTCTAAGAAGCCCCCCCCCCCCACCCCCTCTGCGCGTGGCTGATTATGACACCTCGTGGATCGCGGCTCCCAGAGATCGCATGCGGATCGAGATCCAGGGCTGGACCTAACCAGTGTTTTTCGTTTTCGTTTTGTCTCCGTTTTCTCCCTCGTTTTTGCCTCGCGTCCGCCCTTGACGCAGAACGAAATCGAAACGAGAACGGCCCACGAGATCCCCCGAACACCGTTTAGGTCCACGCCTGTCGAGATCGGCCGATTCCTTGCCAGCGGCAGCGTTCAACCTGGGCCGCCCCGCACCGGGGCCGCGGCAACGGCAGCGTCAGCGCCGCGCGGACCTGCCGCACACCGCGCTTGGCCCGGACACACCCTGTGGACGTTGGCTGCACGCCAGGCTGCTCCTCCCTCCTCCTCCTCCTCCTCCTCCTCCTCCTCCTCCCTCCTCCCTCCTCCTCCTCCCCCCTCCTCCTCCTCGTCCGCCTCCTCCTCCTCCGCCTCCTCCTCCTCCTCCTCCTCCTCCTCCTCCTCCTCCTCCTCCCCCTCCCCCTCCCGGCCGGCTAAGCAAGATGGGGGGGCACATGAGAAGGGCTCGGAGGCTTTCACGGAGGCTTGCGCGAGGGCGGGGAGGCTTCGAAGAAGCCCCCCTGCCTTCTCGCAAGCCCTACCAATCTCGCCCCGCAGCCTTGTGCACGCCACCGAAGGTGGCAACTCCTGGGAGGTCTCCATGGGCCCGGCTACGCATTAGCTGTCAGGCGGGATCTCAAGGCCAGATGGAAGGACCAGTCGGCAATACGTTGTGCCGAAATAAGTCCTGCCAAGCCGCATCAAGGAGAAAAAACCTGGGCCGAGCACTAGTGCAATCTTCCAAGGAGCCCTGCAGCCTGACCATCCTGGGCCGAAGACCCCTACCCATGCCCTCCTTCTCTCGGCTACACGCAAGAGCGACCCTGGGGTAAGAGCGACTTCCGGTGCGCGGCTCCTGGGGGGCCGCGGGGGAGGCCAACCAGAAGCGCGCAAGAAACCCCTGCCGCCTCGCGTTCGGCGATCGGGGGACCCCAGTGGGCCCGCACCAGGGGTCGCTCCGGCGAAAGGTCACCCTGACGTCTAGCCAGACAGAGGGGCGGCACGAGCGGGGGGTTGCCTCCTCAAGAAGGCGAGAAGGGGGGGTACTCCAGGCGATACTCTGCCTGTGTGCCAGCGCAGGCCTGTGCACTGGCCCTGAGCCCTAGGGTACTCCAAATCTCATAATAGCGGGGGGGGGGTCAAAGAAATGTTTGACGGCCGGTCTGGGACCCCACCCAAGACCGGTGCAACCGCGCCCAAATCCGGACCCCCCAGAAGCATCGTTTGACGTTTCGATCTGGACCCCCCCAAAGAGGAGTGTCTGGGCATGCAATTTGGGACCCCCCCGAGAAAACGGCGACGACGACGCCGGTGACGGCGTCATCGGCATGACAGTGGAGCTGCCGTCGGGCCTGGGCCAGAAGAGCATCCTTCAGGAACACGAGGCCCTCCGTCGGCCACACAGCACACAGGGCATCCGAGGGCACCCTCTCCAGGATACACCACAGCGTCCAACGGACACGAAAAACTCGGGCCAGGCGGAAGGGGGGGGTAGCAAAGGGGGGGGTTGAGGATCAGCTCACGTGGCTGATTTTCCCGGCGCCTCCCGGCGCCAGAGGCGCCCATGTATCGAGGAATGGGCCCAGCGGCGGGGCCGCAACCAGCTGCATGCAGCAGATTTCGTAACCCCCCCTTTCCCAATCCCCCCCTTTCGTCCGGCCCGAATAACACAGGGGTACCCTCCCCGAAACGACCTCGATCTTATACCTCGGTCCGACAGTACTGCCTACCATACGGAATGCCCAAACAAGGGGCGAAGCATCTCCTGGGCCCCGGCAGCGCCCGGGCACACGAGGCGCGCCAGAGGCTAGCCTGCCGAGGGAGCTAGGGAACAGCCGCCCCACCTGCCGCGCCCGAACTGTTCCTGCACGACCAAGCCAGGACGAGGACAACATCGGGTGAGGACAAGTCGAGAATCTCTGAGGTGCGGCGGCGCAGGAAGACGTCTCGGGCGCCGCAACCTTCTCAGAGCGTTCCGGAACGGTCTGAGAACGCCACGCTCTCCATAGCAACACCACCGAAGCCCGAGAAACCCAGGGCACTCTGGAGGTAAGCAGGGTGTTTAGTGCCATGGATTTTCACTGTTCCAAGCTGCGCCACAGTTGATTATGTCGCTATATTGTGGGAGGGGGGGAGGTGGAATGGGCGAGGCCCGCTGACACCTTCGACCTGGCCAGCTTGACCTCCTGCTCCACCTCCTCCTGCTCCTCCACCGGACTCCACCTCCTCCTCCTCCTCCTGCTCCTCCTCCTCCTGCTCCTCCTCCTCCTGCTCCTCCTCCTCCCACTTCCCTCCACTGTAGCCCTGTCCGATCCTTACCTCCGCGCCCCGACTGCAATCCGACTGCAACCTCACAGCCGCAGCCCCCGTGGCCTTGGAGACGGGCGAGACCAGCAGCGACTCGACGCGGATCCTGCCCAGCGGCCGCGGCGGGCGGGCACGCACACACCCGGACACCCACAGACACACAGACACACAGACACAGAGACACAGAGACACAGAGACACAGAGACACAGAGACACAGAGACACAGAGACACAGAGACACAGAGACACAGAGACACAGAGACACAGAGACACAGAGACACAGAGACACAGAGACACAGAGACACAGAGACACAGAGACACAGAGAGACAGAGACAGACACAGACAGAGACAGACACAGACACAGACACAGACACAGACACAGACACAGACACAGACAGACACAGACACAGACACAGACACAGACACAGACACAGACACAGACACAGACACAGACACAGACACAGACACAGACACAGACACAGACACACACAGACACACACACACACACACCGACACACACTGTCACACACAGAACACGCAGAACACACAACACACAGACACACACACACACACAGAACACGCAGAACACACACACACACACAAACAACACACAGACACACAGACACCCAAACCACACAGACACACACACACAGTACACACACACACGCACATACACCACCAGGCACGCCCCTTCCTCGGACCTGTGGGATGCGACAAAAGCGACAACTGCATACAGTCGGTACTGGTTGCAGAGGACGCCCGAGAGGGCGCAGGTCTCTTCCAGGGGCAACCTCTGCTTGAGACGCCCAGAAGACCTGACAGACATCGGCAGGACACTGAGATACCCTTGACTGTAGGGTCGACCTGCGCATCGGACCCCGCCTTACTGAACGCGTCTCCTCCCCGTCCCGAGCTCTGGGACTCTCGCGGGCCGATATGGCGCGATGGTAGGCCTCGAAATGGGGCCAACATTTCCGGCCAATCATGTTTTTGCTGGGCCGTGTGGTGTTTTCACAGTGTTGGTTGTCGGGGTAGGCGCGTGGACCCGCGAAAAGAATAGCTGCTGAACCGTCCACACCTCTGCGTCGTGCTCGTCGGCACGAGAGGTGCCAGAGGAAAGCCCATCGAAGAGCCTGCGGAACCCGAAACCATTCCAAAACCAAAACGAACCTCATTTCAGCGTGTTGGTTGCAAATGATACCGGGTTCTGTCACCGCATGGGCGGGGCCTCGAACACCCTCTGGGTTCCGCGAGCGCTCCCTTGGAGGGATCTGAACTTTCTGCAATCGCAATATGGATCCGCTATCGAACAAACGACAGCAACCTGAAAGTACGGCTCAAAACCCGACTGAGAGGATGAGAGGATGAGAGAAAAAGAGAGAGAGAGAGAGAGAGAGAGAGAGAGAGAGAGAGACAACGAAACAGACAGGCCCAACATACCTCTTGGCTGCCAGGCCGATCATTTGCGGTCGACAGCTGGCCGCCCTGGGGAAGGGATGGATCGGGCCCTACAATGTTTCACCCTCCCGCGTGGTCGACTCATTCGACCACTCCTCCAAATCCCAGGCTTGACCAATGTTGCAGAGCAAGACTCGCTAAGCATCGATATTGCTCACGCGCTGCCGTGCATACAGTAGGATCGAACCTGAGCAGCCACTTTATCATGAACAAATCAGCAACCTCGATATATGAGGACACAGCGCTACGCTGTTTAGGGATTCCTGCCAGAGGCCAAACCCTCCAAACATGTCAAGTTCGGGTCAGGCTGGAGGCCTAGCGCGGCGACGGCATGCCTCGAAAACGGTTTGATCGTAAGCCCGCGCTGGACAACTATATTGTTCCATCTCCCTCCATGTGTCGCCGACAGAATACCCCCTCTTGAAACCTGTTGCGACATCACAAATGCTCTCACACGCCGCGGCTAGCTAACGGCCTGAGCGCAGAAGTGGAAGGTGGAGACGGAGGAAGAGAAATACAAAGGACGAAGGTGCGGGTGCAGACAAGGAGGAAGGGAGGGAAGCGGAGGGGGGACGGGGGGAGGTAGAGATGAAGGTGTGGAGGTGGAGGAGGGGGAAAGTTGACGCCTGGATGCCTCAAGCCCCCCTCTTCAAACCCCAGGCCAGAATGGCAAAGCTACCCTCGCTGAGCATTGGACATGGTCATGCGCCGCCGTGCATGCAGGATTCCATGGGATCGGCCTCTCCAGGCAATTTACATCATATCCAAGCTGGGTCAACTCTCCCCACCAGCGCCACTCCCGTTCCCGCCCCCTCTCGAGTCGGCCGCGGCATCACAAGTCCTTCGGCACTTTGCGTCAGCATGTCGGCCTGATTGTGGAACTAGCAGGAGGGGGGGGGAACGCGATGAAGAGGGCGTAGATCAGGTATTCCAGAAAACGGCGTCGCAACTGGCCGAGCAGCGCCCCGCTGCAACTGCGCGGCCCGCGCGCTAGCCGCACCAGGGCCTGCGCCAGGCAGAAATAGCATCCCACTGCAGCAGCTGACAGCGACCCTCATCTTGCACTACGGACGACGCCGCCCAGGACGACCCCGTCGGCGCAGACCAGCCGAATCACGCCAGCGATTGGCCCCTGCCCGCGCGATGGTCGAGCCGCGACCTGCGCAGGCTGGAGGCTGGAGGTAGCGCGCATTAAGGTGCGCGCGCTGGCCGAACCACGGGCCGGGTCAGGTCGGATCGCGCGCGGGGGCCGCGCGAACCCCACAATGGAAACGGCGCTGGCTAACTATAGAATTCCACGCGCCCCTCGAAGAACGAACTTGCCAGGTAAGGTACTTCGAAGCCATGGGGCCCGCGAAGTCATCGTCGAAAATTGCCAAGTCAAAGACCCGCGCGACGCCCCGCTCAACGGGGGGGCGCCCCCCACCTTCCCCCAAAACGCACCCCGACCCTTTCCGGGGGACTTCCGCGCGCCAGCCGTGATTTGCTCCTCGACGCCGGGCGCCGAGACGGCAGGGCCACCGACGAGCCTCGCCCGCCCGTTCCTCGCCGCCAGCTGCGCGCCCTCGGGCAGCGACTCGACGGCGGAACCCCCGAAATCAATCTCCTCGAGCTTCGGGCGTCTCCCGAGGCCCGGCGGGGGAGTCCGCAAGGTCCCCATGCAAGCGAGATCCAGCTTCTCCAGGCTGGGCGCGCCTGCCAGACCCTCCCTCGCGAAGCGCCTCGACGGCGGAGCTTTCGAGGTCGATCGCCTCAACCTTCGGGCAGCTCCCGGGGCCCCGCGGGAGCGCCCGCGCGCTTTTCGTCCTGCCAGGTCCTCGGGCAGCGCCTCGACATCGGAGAAGAGGAGATTGATCTCCTCGAGCTTCGGGCAACTCTCGAGGCGCGGCGGGGGCGCCCGCGAGCTTTCCGCGTCGCCCAGCGCCGCCAGCGTTTCCAGGCGCGGCCAGCCTGCTGAAACCTCGCATAGCGTTTTGGCGGCGGAACCGCGCAGGTCGATGAATTCAACCGCCGGGCAGCGCCCGAGACCACCCTGGAGCGTCTGCAGTGCCTTGCCCCCGCAAGTCCCCAGCTCCTTCAGCGCATGCATCGCGGCCATGGCGTTGCTGCTGACGACCGCCTGAACCCGCAGCTTCCCGAACCTAGCGCAGGGCGGCCTTCCGGGCTCGCCAGCGCGCCGTGGAACTGCTGATTTCGCCCTGGATGCGAACGTCGATGGCGATGTGATAGATCTCGCCCGGCCTGCTGACCTCCTCGGCCACTGTGCGACGGCCTCTGGATCGCCCTCCGCCCAGGCCCTGTCTTCCATCTCGTTGAAGAGACCTCCTGGAAGAACGGCAACGCCCCATCGCCCTCCTGCAAGACAACGAGAGCGAAGTCCTCGCGGGCGTCCTGCTTTAACTGGATCGCCTGTGCGACCGCCTGCTGAAACTGCCGGTCGTCGTTGCGCCGCGTGGGCCCGCGCTGGAGGGCCCCGCCATAGAGCGTGGTCTCCACGGGCCAAGGCCAACATATCGCCCGTGGCCTGGGCGGGCTCACCTTTTTCAAAGGGGATGCTGCCCGCCAGATGTTGCGCGCGAGCCTGAACTGAGGTGTCGGGCGCCAGGTCCAAAGAGAGTCTCGCCCCCACCTGCAGCTTGCGGCTGGGCACCCGTGCGCCAGAAACTAACTTGGATGCCGAGGAGCGGAGGAAAAAACATCTCGCGCTCGTGGGAGGACTGAATTAGCCGCCCCCCACACAAAGATATCGAAGATGAGCCGCTCGCTCACCATCCCCATGCTCATGCAGAAGATGGTTGATCCTCGGCCCTGCAAGTGATGTACAGCCTGCAAATCTCGACGGCTGTCGAGGATGACCTGAATCGACAGCCCCGCGGATGCCGGTCGAATTCAGCTCCCAGCAGGAATCGGGCAACTGCGCCTTCGTGAACCCCCTACACATGTCGCACACCTTGGTCATCTTCGACCTCTGGAAGACTTCATGACGCAGCCGCTAATACAATGGATGGTGGTGAACTTTTCCCTCGAGAGAAGACCCCCGTTCGCCGCTCGCAACGATGCGTTGTGCTCCTCGCTCGCAAAGCAAGGCCGGTGCAAAGCCTGCTGGCCATCAGCTCGAACTCCCACAGAACAGTGCCCGCGAAGGCCGCCTTGAAACTCGGCGTTCTTCGCCTGCTGCTTCTTCGCAACAGCGCCCACAGACCTCGCCTCGAGGCGCATGCCTGGTTTTTCTCCGTGAAGCCGTCGCGCCCAAGATATTCCTCGCCGTTGCTCGGGTCGACCACGAAGCACCGTGCCAAGGTGGACCTGCTGGTCAGGCCGTTGGGCGACGGGATGTTACAGCGCTCGCGCTCCATGGACGTCTTTATGGAGCCGCGTGCCATCCTGGGGGGCCCAGCAGCTGGGTCACGCCTCCGAAGGACAGCTCAGTGTTCCCATAGGCCATCCTGAACTACGCCTCCTGCGTACTGAGATTGTCGTTCAGCTCGGCCCCACAAAGGCCGCCTGCAGTGAAAGGATCTTGAGTTCGTCCAGGACGGTCTCGGTCAATCCCTCCAATCCAACGGCGCGCAATGGCTCGCGGACCAAATCGCTTGCTTTGGCCAGCGCCTGCGCGTGCTCGAAATGTGAACCTGTCGCGGGCGGCAAGTCTGGAGCTTCGACACCACGACGGATGACCATGTATACTATCCGGCGCTTGAGCCGCCAACTCCATCGTGAAGAAGTTGGCCGTCAACTCCATCGTGGTGACAAGATGTGGCCGTCAATTCCGAATAGACAAACCCCCATTGACAGCTTCCTTCCGAGTTGACGAACCCCCTTTTCACGGCCTCTCTCCGAGTTGACGAACGCCTTTTGACGGCCTCCAAGTTGACGGGCCATCTTGGCGAACCCTCTCGACGGCCTCCTTTTGGGGTGACGAACCCCCGTGACGGCCTCCCTCCGAGTTGATGAACCCCTTGACGGACCTCCTCGCCGCCCCCCCCCGTCTTGACGATCAAAGCGTCGGGGCCGAGCTGATGGTTAAAAAACGACCTCAGTTTTGACGAACCAAATGTCGGGGCCGAGTTGACGGCTCCTTTCGTCTTGACGAACGAAGTGTTAGAGTTGAATTGACGACTGTTTTCGCCTTACCGAACGTAGGGTCTCGGGGCCGACTCGACGACTGTTGTGGCCGCTTCTCCAGACTTGCGCCGTCTCAGCCGTCAGGTTGGCCTCAACTCGAAGTCGCTGACGCCCGCTGGGGCCTTCCGCGCGGCCGTGAACGGCAGACGCAAATCCAACGAGCGCTTCCAACCGCGCCACGGTCCAGCCCTGCGACTCCGAGTGCTCCGCGGCGGGCAGCCCCTGGACGGTTTCGCGCGCCGCCTCCTTCTGAACGCCCGAAAGGGGTACAGTAGGGGCCCGACCACAATAACCTTTTCCACAAGATCCCTAGCCTTGAGACCCCAGCACGACCATTGATTTTCGGTGTGGGCACGTAACGCTTTCCATTGCAAAACCATCGAACACCAAGAAACTAAAGGCACCTCCGTGGCAAACAAGGTGTTTGTTGGCATGGGCCCCCATTGTACGGACAAACGTGGGCACGATGCCCAACGCCCAACAACAAATGCAGGCCAAAACCAACAGCGGCCGCTGTAATTAGGGCAGGCGGCCCTCAGTCTCAGAGGAGCAGCGACCGCGGCGACGCCGACAGCGAGTCCTGTCCAGCCTGAAGAGGAGATTCGGGGGCGCGCAAACATGGAGTAGCGATCCATGGATTTGGCCCGCGGGCGCCAAATCCATGGATTGTCGGGGGAGGCGCCCTCCCCAAAATGCGGCCAATGCCGCCTCGCTCGGCGGCGGAAATCCGCGATTTTCCATGGAAAAAGGGACCCGTCGCGAATCCACGCCTCCTTGATGCATGTTTGCGATCTCCTGAGAACTGCTGTTGGACTCTGCTCTTGCTTCCAAATCCGATTCGATCCTCACGATGCTCCTCGTGGTCGAAAGTGGTCGCCGCGAACCTGCGGCACACCTCGAGGCGCTCCCCCCCGGGCAAGTGGGGGCCGCGCCCGCGCCATGGCGGGCGCCGAGGGTCCCGGGAGGGGCCCAGAACAACACCTGCCAGAGGCGCCCCTGGCACGGGGAGCGGGCGCCCGCGGCGCCCCCCTCCCAGGTGGCAGGCCGGGGTCGAGCCCTGAGCAAAAAAGGCCACGGACTCTGAGCCTTCTCTTCGGCTGCGGGAAAAAAATGAAACCTAGATAACCGCTCAAGGTCTTTAGTTTTGGTCCTCCCCGCTCTCTCGGCAGGTCCCAAAACCTCCACCTCCTCCCCCATCCTCCTCCTCCTCCTCCTCCTCCTCCTCCTCCTCCTCGTCGTCGTCGTCGTCGTTATCATTGATGCTCGGCGGGTGCCGCGCGGAAAAAAAAGTTCCCCCTATTGGTGGGACCCCAGTCCTTCAATAAGGCCGCCGAACAAATGATTAGTTACCCCCTATTGGGGGTCTGAAAACCTTTCAGGGGTAAGAGTGACCTTTGGTGCGCGGCTTGTTTGGGGCCACGGGGGGGCCGAACACAAGCGCACAGGACACTACTACCACATCGCGTTCGGCAGTCGGGGGCCCCAGTGGGCCCGCACTCAAGGCCACTCTGGCGAAGGGTCACTCTTACGTGTCGTCGATCTGTCCGCTGTGCCCCCCGCCCCCCTGTTCCTTCCACGAGCCGTCCCCTCTCGGGGCCTGGCTGGAACACCGGTGTGGCTGCGAGCGCTCGAGGCACCGCTCGGTTCAGCCCTGCTCCCGGCGGCACCTGCGCAAGTAGCACCTCTCTTGAGCGCGTGTGGCTGCGAGCGCTCGAAGCACCGCTCGGCTCAGCCCTGCTCCCGGCGGCATCTGCACGATCAGCCTCGTTCGAGAGAGATAGCAGCGTAGGGCACAAGGCCGCCGTCGCCTCCGCTCCTGCTCCCCTCCCGCCGCTGCCCCCCTGCTGCTGCTTGTGCGCCTCGTGCCGCTGCTGCTCCTCTTCACCATCCCCTCTCCCCGTGCTCGCCCTGCTCCTTTTGCTCCTCCCGCTGCGGCGCCCCCTCCTCCTCCTGACTGCCTGATCTCCCGACGGCATTGGAGTGCTCCGCACGCTGCCGCTCCTCCTTCTCCTTCTCCTCCTCCTCCTCCGCCTGCTCCTTACGTTGTCTTCCGCCTTCACACAAGGCATCTGACAACTCATCTCAGGGCCCTGGGGCGGCCAAGTCACGAGAGGCGCCGACGTGACAGCCGGTCGGCCCGCCAGCGTCTGCTGACAGGGGGCTCGGCGAGCGCTCATGGCGCACGCGTCAGGCCGTCTCTCCTCCAGTCTGCAGCGACGGGTGCAACATCACCGACCAGCGCGCGCATCGTCTGCGACGCCGCCTCGCTTGCGTGCGCCCGCCATTCCCATGGGCGCACGCGGCGACAACCCAGCCGACTGCCGACCAAACCGGCAGCTACACCGAAACCGACCTAACATTGGAGGGCCGCAAGCAGACTCGAGCAGGGAGCGCGGCTCGCTGCGGGGACTGCCCGCGAGCACATGCTCGGTGGCTGCCTCGCCTTCTCACCCCTCGCGCTGTCGCTCCTCCTGCTCCTCCTGCTCCTGCTCCTCCTCCTCCTCCTGCTCCCCCCTGCTCCTCAACTCCTTCACCTTCTTCCCCTCTCCAGCCTGTCGCGCCCGCTCCAGGGACTGCGCGGCAACTCCTCCTCCCCCTCCTCCCCCTCCTCCTCCTCCTCCTCCTCCTCCTCCTCCGCCTCGCTCGTCCCCGTCTGCCTTCTCCTTGTCCTTCCTGTTTCCGCCCACCATTCCCGATCCTAAGATTGCGCAACTTCTGCTTGACAAAACCTCTCCCTGTTCAGTTCCGCCTGCCACTCTCGGTCCTGGGATTGTACACCTTCTGCTTGGAGAACCCTGGATCGACAACGTACACGATCCCGTCAATCGTGATGGAGGTCTCTGCAATGTTCGTAGCCACTACGACCTTTGCCATCCATCGAGGTCGCAATTTCTACGCGATCCGAACCGAACCGGTCGTCTTGTTCGCCTCTGCCGCATGTCTAAATCTCATGTAAACCGCGAAGCTTCGCGCAGCAGACATCTTCATTCCAGCATGTGAAGTGACAGTTTGTACAGATCACCAACGCAGCCAAGCAGCCTCCGAATTTCATGAGAAGGGGGGAGAGGAGGAGCACGACGGAGCAGGGTGAGAAGGGCTGGCGATCCCCAGACGTCCCTCGTGACTGCGTCACGACAACAAACATATATCAATGTGTTCGCGTTCCGTTGCTGCCCGGCCCAAGACAGTTTCAGGGTGAATTCAGAGGGTCTTCAGAGATCATGTCGATGGCTCAACAACTCCCTCATCAGTTCCCAACACAGCCAGGGGCGATCTTCTGGGGAACCCAAGTCTGCCCAAGAGGTAAGACGGCCCAACGTGGGGACCAACATCGGCCAAGAGAGCGTCCAGAGGATGCTGAAACGCCTCAAGACAGTCCCCAGAAACCCTCGGAGCGGCACAACAAGGGCCCATTCCAAGACAGCCTCAGGATCGGCCTTCCGAGATCACCTCGACGGCTCAATAACTTCCTCTGAGGGTCTCAAAACGGCTGGAGCCTATCTTCAGGAGCCCAAGATGGCCCAAAAGGTAAGACGGCCCCGAATGGGCGCCGATGTAGGCCGAGAGAGCCCCCATAAGTTCCTCAGACGCCTGAAGACGATCCATAAAGACACCCCAGCAAACAAAAAACGTCCCAAAAAGTGTCCAACAAGACACCTAAGAAACACCACATATGCAATCCGTGTTTAAACTTACGTTGGTAAAACATGAGATCCTGTACCACATTTGATGAACTGTTCCGTACCCGTATTTTCTGGGCTGCGAAGCACCCAAGACGGCACGTACTGCCCCCGTCATCGCCCCAGAAGAGAACGAGGGGGGCCATACAGCCCAAGCGGGGCCGAAGCCAACACGGCGGGAGGATGATGAGCACGAGCGGACGGAATCATTTGGCCCAATTCTGCAAGACTGCGCAAAACTACTACGCAGCAAGACATCTCTAGGGTAACGACATCAAGACCTTCCATAGCAAATGCGATTTGTAACATGTCACTCCTGCTGCGAAGACTTGGGCAGATGATATGATGCAGAGCACTGTCAATCACTGACGCGTACTAAATGTTAGGATGACTCGCTAGCTTGCGCACATACTTTGCCGATGCAGATTCCAAACTTTGGGAACACACGTACGTAACACCAACGATAAGCCATTGCTGTCGTTTCCGTCGACATTGGCACAAGGTACTGCTCCTTCTCCTTCCCTCATGTCTTTCTCGCCCTATCCAATGAACCCTTCCCTGTCTTCCTCAGTCGTCATTTTGCTGAGGTTCATCATTGGAAGGCCTGTTGGGGTCCTCGCGAACCTGTGTTGGGGGTTCCTTGTGTGATTCTGGAAGCCTCCTGGGCGCCTTTTGGAGGCTTCCTCGGGTAATCTTGCTTTGAGCCATGGTCTCCCTCAGCGCCAAGGTCACGATCTGGAATTCTTCGGGGGGGCGTCGCGGGACCACCTTGGGCCGTCATGGGGGGGGCTCTCTTCGGGCCCTCTCGGCCGTCGTCAGGCTCTCTCGGGCTGACTGCAGACCCTTTAGTTGATGTGTCTTGGATTTTTCGGCGGTCTCGGACGCCCAGAAAATCAAATTATCGACTAACTAAAAATATAAACGAAAAGAACATGCATGGCATCGTGGACCCCAAACAAGAAGTTGTTGCACTCTGGATGTGTAAGCCATGTGCGTGCTATTTGGTGTAAGCTATGTGGTGCAAGGTATGTGGCGTAACCAGTGCGGCGAAAGCTGTGTGGTGAAACTACTAGGAGGTTCAAACTAGGTGGTGTGGTGTGTGCGGTGCAATCTACTTGGTGTAATCTATGTGGTGCAAGTTGCGCTGCGCAAGGTGCATGGTGCAAGCTTCGCTGTGTAAGATATGTGAGGCAAACAAAACTATGTGTTGGAACTGGGGTGATGTAGTGCATGTGGTGCACGCTGTGCGGTGCAAGATCCGTGGTTTAAGCTAGGTAGTCACAGAGAGAGAGAGAGAGAGAGCGATGGGGGAGGACACACGTCTACATACAATCACAAATGCATCCATTTACACGCACCTGCGGAAAGCAACGAAGCGGCACCCATCAGGCACCAGCCGAAACCCCGACATACCCACCAGGCACCAGCCGAAACCCCGCACGAGGCGGCAACGAGGCGGCAACAAGGCTGCACCAAGGCGGCACCAACTGGACATCAGCCGAACCCTTGACACACCCATCCGGCGCACGAGGCGGCAACGACGCGGCAACAAAACGGCAACAAAAAACCCCAACGAGGCGGGGCCGACCGGGAACCAACAGAGACCCCGACACACCCACCCAAAGCACGAGGCGGAAACGAGGCGGCACGAGCCAACACCAAGCGGGCACCAGCCGAAATCACGACACACCCACCCAACACACGAGGCGGCAACGAGGCGGCACCAACCGGGTACCAGCCGATACCCCGACACGCTCATCCAAATCCTCAATAACACAAATCAAACGCCCTAAGTGCAGGCACTGTTCGGGGCATCGGGGAATGACAATTTCAGCTTGCGTTCGGGAAGTCTCTCGGAGGTGTTTTGTTTGCATGTCCACGGCCTGAAACCGGAGCCTCGCAACTTCGATGGCCTCGAGGTGTTCTCCGCTTCTTTCTTTCCCCAGCGGTTCCAACTCGGCGTGCGCACTGAGGCGATGGGGCTGGAGAGGGCTGGTGGCTGGTGCTTCAGCGCGTGTGGCTGGCACACCGTTGATGGAGGATGGACAAACAACAGGATGCCGCCTCACTCTCGGCTGGCGCTGGGCATTGCCAGGTCAGTCCATGGTCAAGCTCGGGGCTGCGCGTGGAAATTTGCCACGCCAGGCATCATGTCCAAAGAGCCAGTATCATGTCAGCGAACCGATCCGTATCATCGAGCTGCCTCGAATCGTAGAAAAGACACCACTAGCGGCAACGACGCGGAGAGCCATGCCAAGCTAATGAACCCGCAACTGCTGACCTCCTCTGGGGAGGAGTTGTCGTTCTCGTCGTCCCCGTCGGTGCCGCTCGTCGTCGTCGCGCTCGGGCACATCTCCTCCAGCTGGGCCAGCTCGTCAGTGGTCAAGTCTGGCACGTCGCCACTGCCGCCGAGAAGGATGCCGCCCCCGCACTGGCTCGGCTGCTCAATGGCACACCTGAACAAAGGATACATGGCACACATCATCTCCATCTGCCCATCCGTCAGATCATCCGGCCCTACGTCGCCGACGTCGGTCGTGCTCTCGGGGTCGAACGCTTGCGTGGTGCCGACGCCCCCTGGGAAAGCAGTGGTGGTGCCGACGCCCCCTGGGAAATCCGAGGCAGTGTCGAAAGCGGACACGAATGCCCCCGTGAGCTGAGCAAGCGCTGGCGCGGCGCTGGGGCAGGCGTCGCACAGGCAGTCCAGTCTGGGGGCGAACTCGAGGATCTCGTCCGCCCCCGCGTCGCAAGCGCCCGGATTGTCCACGACGCACTGGACTGCAGGACGGTGCGTGCAGAAGGCACCGATGAAGATCTCCGTGACCCCCGCCATGAGCTCTGCCATCTCCGCGGTCGACTCCCCGCCCTCACTCGGGCCGGACGGCACGAGCGGGGCGACTGCCGCCGCGATGTCGGTGTACAAGGTCTGCAGCCCCGGGCAGGCCGCCAGGCACGCCTCCGAGGGCTGTGCCGAGAGCCGGCGGTCGACCTCCTCGCGCAGCTCTCTGGCGTCCGAGCGCGGCGACGGCGGCATGCTCGCCTTCAGCTTGCGAGCAGCCAGCGCGCGCAGCGCCTGAGCGTCGTCGCAGGCGCAGGTCTGCAGGAGAGAGGCGGCGAGCAGGACGGCGAACGCAGTCGCAGACATGGCCCGAGGAGAGATCTGTCTGCCTCCGCCCCTTCCGACCTGGCGCTGGGCCAGGGCGACGGGCTGCTGCGAGTGGCTGATCCCGACCGGCCTCGAGCGGGCCTCGAGCGAGGCAGAGCTTGAGCCAGAGCGGCTACGGACTCCCCCGGGGGTGCTCTCTGGGCCGTCGTCGGCGGGGGCCGCTGGGGGCTCTCGCGGGGCCGCTGGGCCGCCCACCAGGCCGCGTCGGGCCCGGCGGCCGCGCAGGCCCTGCCCTGCAGGAGCGTCCAGGATGCCCAGCAGTCCCGGGGTCCCTCGGCAAAATCGCCCATAAGGTCCATGGGGACCGAGGATCCAGAGGGTCCCGCTTTGGGGGGGGGGGGGCACCCGGATATGCAAATGTACGTGTGGCGTCCAAAATCCGGATAGCGGAGCAACCCAAAGCGCGTGCAACGCTCGTGGGAGACGCTTGCAAGGACGCTGGAAAGGATGTCTGGGGAGCTTGCAAGCTCGAGAAGAGAGCTTCGCAGGAGCCGAGGAAAAGCTGCGAGAGAGGTGCGGAAACGCTTGCGGCAAACGTATTGGGAACGCGTAGGAAAACGCTTCAGGGATGCCTGCCCGAGAGCCGTGGAAAGGAAGCTGGTCTACCCTGTGCTGTCGGCTTCTTCTCTGAAGCCCTCTCAGCTCTCAGAGAGGGGCAGGCAAGTGACCACGCCTGTGTGCATGCGTGGTCACTTGCCTGCTCATTTATTTATTTATTATTTCTCTCTCTCTCTCTCCTTCTCTCGCTCTCTTTCTCTCTCCCTCTCCATTTTAACAAATTCGCACTCGTCGGTTCGACTAGCCAATATCCTACCTCGCTCATGCTGGCCCCGCAGGACCGCAGCAACGACCCAAGACGACCCCTGGACAGCCCAAGACAGCCCCACGACGTCCCTGAGAGACCTCCAAGACAGCCACCCGGGACCCAAGATAGCCCCAAGACGGCCCAAAGGGCCCCAAGACTCTCTCAAACAGCCCCCAGGGATTCCCGAGATTGCCCATTTGGAGCCCCAAAACGA